GTATTCCTTAAAAAGAGGAAGAAGAGAAAGGTAAAGATTAAAATTATGATCAGCAAATACATATCTATCAACAAGTGAATCTAAAAACCAAGTGAATAAAAAATCTAATGAACAGAGTAAACTGGTGAATATAATAGAACCAGGGGCATAGAAAGGGAGTGGACTGACAATTCTTGGGGGCAAAGGGGTGTCGGGGTGCAGGAAGAGACTGGACAAAAATCGTATACCTATGGATGAGGACAGTGGGAGGGGTAAGGGCAGAGGGTGGGGTGGGAACCGGGTGGAGGAGTTATGGGGGAAAAAAAGAGGAACAAATGTAATAATCTGAACAATAAAGATTTAACTAAAATAAATAAATAAATAAATAAATAAATAAGTGGAAGCATATACTGTGTTCATGGATAGGAAGAATTAACATCATTAAAAGGTGATGCTACCCAAAATGATCTACAGGTTCAACACAATTCCTATTAAAATACCAATGGTATATCACAGAAAACTGGAACTAATATTCCAAAAATGTATATGGAAACACAAAGACACCAAAGTAGCCTCAGTAATCTTGAGAAAGAAGAACGAAGTTGGAGATCACAATACTGGATATTAAGCTACAAGGTCATAGTAATCAAAACAGCTTGGTATTGGCATAAAAACAGACATATATATCCATAGAACAGAATAACCCACACCTTTATGGTCAATTAATATTTTACAGAAGAGGCAAAAATACACAATGGGTAAAGACAGTCTCTTCAATAAATAGTGTTGTGAAAATTGGACACATGCAAAAAAAAAATTTAACTAGACCACCTTCTCACACCATCCCAAGAATAAAGTAAAAATTGATTAAATACTTAAATGTAAGTTGTAAAAACATAAAAATCATAGAAGAAAACATCGGCAGTAAAATCTCAGACATTTCTTGTAGCAATATTTTTTCTGATATATTTCCTCAAAGGAAACAAAAGAAAAAAAATAATTAAATGGGACTACTTCAAACTAAACACTTTTTGCACAGCAAAGGAAACCATGAGCAAAATGAAAAGACAACCCACCGAATGGGAGGACATATTTGCCAATGATACATATGATAAGGAGTTAATATCCAAAATGTATAAAGAACTTTTACAACTCAACATCAAGAAAACAAACAATCCAATTAAAAAATGGGCAAGGGACCTAAATAGACACTTCTCCAAAGAGGATATACAGATGACCAACAGACATATGAAAAGATGTCTAATGTCACTAATCATCAGAGAAATGCAATTTAAAACCACAATAAGAGATCACCTCATGACTGTCAGAATGGTTATCATCAATAAATCAACAAACAAGTGCTGGTAAGGATGTGGAATAAGGAAAACTTTGTGCACTATTGGTGGGAATGCATATTAGTGCAGCCACTGTGTAAAACACTATAAAAGTTTCCTCAAAAAATTCAAAATGGAACTGCCTTATGACACAGCAATTTCACTTCTGGGAATAAACCTGAAGAAATCCAAAACAGTACTTTGAAGAAATATATGCACCCCTATGTTCCTTACAAAGTTATTTGGAATAGCCAAGATTTAGAATTAGCCCAAGTGCTTCTCAGTAGATGAGTGGATAAAAAAAGCTGTGGTTCATTTACACAATAGAACTCTTACCTTTTGCGGAAGCATGGATGGACCCAGAAATCAGGATTTTAAAAAGATTCCCAGGCGATTCTAATGTGCAGCCAAGGTTGAGAACCACTGCGCTAAGTGAAATAAGCCAGTCAGAGAAAAACAAATACCATATGATATCAGTTACATGTGGAATCTAATGACCAAAAACACAAAATAGAAACAGAATCATAGATAGTGAACTGACTGAATGCTGTCTGAGGGCAGGAGGGCTGGGGGAGCTGGGTGAAAAAGTTGAAGGGATTAAGCAAAAAGAAAAAAAAACCTCATAGACACAGGCAATAGTATGGTGATTGCCAGAGAGGAAGAGGGGGGTGAGGTAAAGAGGGGATAAATGGTGGTGGAAAAAGACTTGAGTTTGGGTGGTATACTGATAATGTGTTACAGAATTGTACACTTGAAACCTGTACAATTATTTTTTTAATTCATCTTTATTGTTGTAAGTATACAGATATCCCCTTTGGTTTTTTCCCTCATTGACCCCCTTCACCCTGCACCAGCCTCTCCCAGGCATTCACCACACTATTGTGTCCCTGGGCTATGCATGTATGCATAAGTTCCCAGGTTAATCACTCCCCACCCACCCCTCCACCCCTGCCACCTTCCTTCTGAAATTCTTCAGTCTGTTCCATGCTTCTATGTCTCTGGGTCTACTTTGTTCATCAGTTTATTTTGTTCATTAGATTCCACATGAGTGAGATCATGTGAGATCTGTATGGTTTTATTAACCAACTAGAAGCCCGATGCATGAAATTCATGCAAGAGTGGCCTTTCTTCCCCCAGCTGCCGGCACCGGCTTACCTTTGAGACCTGGGCTTCCCTCAGGCCACCGGCAGGCACCCCGGACCCAGGATTCCCTCCCAGCCCTGGTTTTGTCCGGAAGGTCACCCGGAAGGACATTTGGAAGGACATCAGGGCTAATTAGCATTTATGCTTCTATTATTATAGATGTCACCCCAACAAATTCAATTAAGAAGAAAAAAAAAACACACATATTGACCAGGTCAAATTTGTGGTAGTAAATATAGAATTTTCCAGAAAAACTAAACATTATTTTGAAAGGTTCTATGAAAGAGGATATTTTGATTTCCTTTGCCGTATAAGTAGCCATGTAAATATTAGTGTGTTTCTGTCATCCTTATGTTGCAAGCATTTTACATTTATCCACAGCAGAGAGAAAATTGTTGAAATCATTCCATGTAAATGTAGCTCAAGAAAAGAGCATGAAAAAGACCAAAGAGACTTTCCAAGTTTATTTAGTAATGACCTATTCACACCCAAGAAGACATCTTACATCAATTAACCTGAGAGGAAGTATTACATGTGGCCTGGTGAGAACTATTATCCATTTATTTTATTTAATTAAAAAATAAACAGTGTTGATGTTCTACAACTATTCTTTTAAAAATTTGCTCCAAAAAGGAAAAAGCTAAAACTTGAGAACACTAGAATCCTATAATCAAAGTCCTAGTGGTTGTCTCTTCTTGAACATGTATTTATTGGAGGAATTAAAGATGAAGTGAGCTCATATGTTTTAATAGAAATGTTATTTACCTTGGGTTCCATGAACTCGGATGGTAAAGTATTACATCTTTATTTTTGCTAGCCTCTGATACCTAACATTTCCTAAAAGTATGATTGTAGGTAAAAAACCACAGACATTGTTACTGTGTTACCAATAAACTGATACTTCTGTATTACATTAGACTTGATGTAGCTATCTGGATCTTTTATAGTATCACCACTGGGAAAGTATAGTAGTAAACAGACCCCTCCCCAATAGATATTGAATATATTCTTAAAGAAGTATACATCACAGCACCACAAATTGTAATAGCTGTAACATTTTGATTACTGTTAGTATTTACAAGGGAGCCAATTAGATCATCTTAAGTATGTAAAATAACATGAGTTATTATTTTAGGAGAATTTAGAGAAGATGTTTCCCCAGACTGAAGAGAATCATTGCAAACAGATTTACAATCTACTTCAGAGGGAGAGAAAATACTGGGTTCTATGTGTTTCATTTCATTTCCTCTCTCCCCACAATAAGGCTTTTCTTACAAAGTCTCCATCTTTTACTCTTGTCACTCTAATGACCATTTGCTGGCACCAGGCCACTGTAGATACTCTCCTATATTTTGTTTAATGCAACGCATTTAAACAGTCAGATTCAACCTCTTCCCTATTCTGTACTGCACCGATTAATGAGCATCCACATACTATTGAAAACCCACTCTTCCTTTCTCACCTTTTCGTTATATGTACACATTCTTTTCCTTCTATCTGCCTAACATTTAAAGAACAAACTTAAGTCCAGGAGGTTCTGCCTCCACAGATGGTCAGCAATGGATGTGTCGGAGTGAAAACCACACTTCACTCGTAGCAGAGGCCATGCGGCCACTCCCCGACGCACTCATTGGGCCTCTCTCTGACACTTTCAAGTCTCTCAGCTTTTCACAGTAGAGCTCATTTTGCCCAGCAGGTAGACATGCTGTTCTCCCAAGCCCCTCGCTGCAGGAAGGAGTGGCCTCTGGCTTGGGTTCACTTAGGTGTTAATCCCTCCAGTGACCCGCTCTGATCTCTTGGGTCACCAACCACTAACTCAGAAAAACCCATTACATGGCTGCCTGAATGGAGCCTTCGACTGGATCTCAAGAAAACGTCCAAGGACCGGAGGGCGCTTACCAGGCCTCCACAGAGGCTGAAGACCGCTATGTGATCCTCCCGAGCATTGACCTGGCCCCGGTAGAAGCAGTGGCGCAGGCCTGGGGACACCGCCCGGCTCTCCTCCGCCCCGCGCGCGGGGGTCCCCAAGTGCACCTCGGTGAAGCCCTCCGCCAGAAAGGCCGCGTCCGCGCTCAGGTTCAGCTGGAACAGCTGCCCGTAGGCGCTGATTCGGTAGTGGGTCCGGAACGGCGGGGGCTCGGGCGCCTCTGAGCTGCGCTTCCTCCGACTGAAGTGATGGCTCTGAGGGAACACTTCGCCGAACTCATTGACCCGCGCGGGGGTCACCACTTCGTACGAGGTCAGGGTCCTCACCAGCGCTTCTGCAACCACAGGGAAATGGCCATTGAGCGCCTCCCCGCCCCCCTCACACACGTGTTTCCAACTCCCACCCCAAAACTTCTTCAACCAAACGTCCCCACCAAAGACCCAAGGTCCCAACTCCCCAGAACACCCCGCAGCAATTAAGAAGAACACAGGATGGCGAGCGCGCGCGCGCACACACACACACACCACACACACACACACACACACGTGCGCTCTGGGAGTGCGAACCCCCGGCTTTCCCACACCCCCGACTGGCTTCACCCTCCCCGCGCAAAGACCCTGACGCGCCAGGCCCTGAGCAGCCCACCTCCTTCCCCAGCCTCTCCGCTTCCCCCTCCGCCACTCCCCCACCCCGGAGGGAAGAATCTTTATCTTTGGTGGGAATCATGCCTGTCCTGACAGGATAACCATTTATTCAGGGGAAACCATTCCTCTTGAATGAAGCACTGTACAGGTCTCCATAACAGCACTTACCTCACAGAAGACAGAGGGCAAATATATAAGGACTGAAACCCCACTTGACCAAAAAATACTATTCATCTAAACCTAAAGGACTGGAAGAAAACAAATGCAGTGATTTTTACATAGAG